CCTCCCACTCCACCCAATTTAGAAGCCAGTAAGGTCAGAAACAGGAAATCTAAGGAATAGAGATCTAAGCAGAAGCCAAGCACACACATTTCACTCACAGCAGGTGGTTGCCAACCAGAAGTCTTCTGGGGAAAAGTGTTACCTTTGAGTGAAGACCAAAGTGTTGATTAAAATACTGAGCTGGATATTTTTAATTTTTAAAGTGAGTCTATGTTTTATAACTTCTATTACCTAATATTACAGCTACCTGAATGTACCCTCTGTCTTTTATTTACTCCTGAATCCCAATTACCTAGAAGAATGGATGGCTCACAAAAGTGCTCATTAAATAGCTGTTAAACCAACAACTTAAAAGTGAGCCAAGAATAGAGCCATGCCACAGTGGGTGACCATCAAAGAATAGCTCGTTGATTGCAGAGGCTAAAGCAGGAAGGAAAGTGAAAAAGTAAAAAAAAGGAAAGATCATCTTTTAAGAAGCTTGGATGGAAGAAGAAGAAATAAAGTGCTCAACACTGGGAAGATTCAGGATAGGGTCAATGGAAGTGTTATGCTTCAGCATTTTTAAGACTAAGGAGAAAAAAGAAGAAAAAAAAAGACTAAGGAGAAAAATCCAATTTAAAAATATTTAATTCTGGTCCTGGCCAGTGTGGCTCAGTTAGTTGAGTGTCATCTTGTGCACCTAGACATTGCTGGTTCGATTCCCAGTCTGGTCACATGCCCAGGTTGTAGGCTAGATCCCGGGGGAGAAAGGGGAAGTGGCATGCAAGAGGCAGGCGATCAATGTTCTGCTCTCACATTGATGATTCTCTCTCTGATTCTGTCTCTCTCTGTCTCTCTCTCCTTCCCTTCCTCCTTCTCTAGGGATCAATAAATAAACAAAAAAAACTAACACTGATTAGAACTTTACACATATTTTTTATTTTTTTTAATATATTTTATTGATTTTATACAGAGAGGAAGGGAGAGGGATAGAGAGTTAGAAACATTGATGAGAGAGAAACAATCAATCAGCTGCCTTCTGCACACTCCTTACTGGGGATGTGCCCGCAACCAAGGTACATGCCCCTGACCTGGGACCCTTGAGCCTATCCACTGAGCCAAACCAGTTAGAGCCATATCAACTCTTTTAATCTTCACAATTCAATAATACAGAAAATATTATCTCCTTTCCATAGGTAAGGGATCAGAAATACTCTAGATCAGGTCTAGAAGTTTCTGAGAGCATCACAGGAGAAAACATCAGCTCTAACCAGGTGTCAGGTTCATTCTCTCACAAGAGAATAAAGCATTGGTACTAGAAAACACAACAAAGAATGAGTTAAGAATAGATTAGGGTGAGCCTCAGTTAGGAAAAGGATGCTTCTTTCTTTTCTTTTCTTTTATTTATTCATTTATTTGTTTGTTTAATATATCTTTTTATTGATTTCAGAGAGGAAGGGAGAGGGAAAGATAGAAACATCAACGATGAAGAGAGAACCATTGATTGGTTGCCTCTTGCACACCCCACACGGGGGATCAAGCTTGCAACCCAGGCATATGTCCTGACCTGGAATCGAACCATGACCTCCTGGTTCATAGGCGAAGGCTCAACCACACAAAGTTTGTATATCTGACAAACTCATCCCTCGAAAAAATCAGCACAAGTTATCACCTACAGTGGGAAGTCTTCTTTAACATTTGTTAAAGTGTAGATATATGAACAACTTAGGGAGGGAGTAGGTCTAGGTAATAGTCTTTTATTTTTTGGACAGGTTAAGAGTGAGATGGGTAGAGACATGGAATAGTCTTGAGGATAGGGATGAAAAAGGAAGAGCATAGGGAGATGAACAAATCCCAATTAACTGAGCAATCATGCCAATGACTCAGTTCAGAGTCACCATTGGTTAATATGAGGTTTTGCTAGGTGAGCATAGCAGGACAGCAGCAACAAGTCTCTGAGTCTTGATGAAAATTAACTATATGTTTCAGACTAGCTATGAAAATGCCAGAAGTGAGTTGTAAACTGGAGACAGGCGATCACGAACTGTCAGAGTCATTGTGATGAAAGATAATGACAAAGTTGTTTTATTTATAACAAAAGAAAGCAAATCAAAAGGCCCTTCCCTGGATTTATTGTCCTTGTGGCCCCTGCTTTCTGTAGTACCTCGGAAACGCCCTGCTATGCCTGTTTCAAAGTGTTTGTGCTTGAAATTCCCTTTCTGCAAAATGCATGTTTTCAACAAACTAATATAACTGGCTCCTTCTCACCATTGGGGTCTCGGCACCTTCCCAGTTATCTTCTGACCACAAATGCTAAAGCAGAAGTCTACCATAACCTGTCCCTGCCATTACCTTCTTATTTTCTTCATGGCACTTATCACTAGGGGAAATCACATTGACTATTTATTAACCTATTTGATGTTGGTCTCCTTTATCCTGCTTACCACTTCATCCTGTACATCCAACACAGGATGGCTAATATGGGTACTCAACAGACACTTATGGAATGAATAAATGAACTGGGGGAGCAAATGTAACCCTAAAATACCATTGCCTACTAGTCACACAACTAGTGGGAAATATGGAGGTAGTAGGAAATGGCAGGGATCTTTCTCTCAAAAAGAGAATGTTATTCACTACCCATGGGGCAAGGGTAGGCAGATTATTCAGATCTCTGACTTACCAAAGAGCCACACTTCTTACCTAAAGGATATCACTTCCCTCTAGGTGGGTAACCTTGCAAAGAAACATTTTAAAGCAGGCTAACTGCTTGCACCCAGATGTGCCAAAAGACCACTCCTGGAAAAACTGTGCCTTCGTTCCATTTTAAGCACTGTAAACACTAGGACCAAGATTTGTTCAACATTGCATTCCCAGCATCTAATAGTTTTTGACCCAAGGGGATACCCAGAATGTTTGTTAAATAAGCATGATCTTCTGAGGAATGATCTTCTGATCATTGAAGACGATCTTCTGAGGAATGGCCATCCCATCACCTCCTCCGCCGTGGATAAACGTATTTTAGAAACTGGGCAAGACAGTTAAGGAGCCCTCGGCCTAGGCCGCTCCCTGGGCAGCAGTCTGGTTCCTAGAATTCAATACTCATCCATCCTGTGCCACAGGTAATCAAGTATTACTTTCCCCCAGAGTCACCATGTATCACATTGGTGTATACTTGGCCAATATAATGATTAATACAATATAGTAACCAATAATGGATTTCACTTGCCTCTTTAATTTTTTTTATATGTATTTTGGTCAGCCAGGAAGGATAGCTCAAAATACTGAAAGAACTAAAACTGAAGAATTCTACCATTAATTTTATATTCACCAGTGTATGGCTCACCGTGGGACCCCAGGAAAATTGTATCATCCTCCTGACTCTCAGTTTCATCAACAGCCATAATGTTCTTTATTCAAAGGGTAGCTTGGAGAAAATTAATCAGCTAGCATTTTGTTGTAATGTACTCTGAGGCCAATGCTTGAAAGATTCCATAAATCAAATTAAGTATGAAACAAGGGAAATCATAATTAAGTCCACTTCAAAACCTGAGAATTTGAGAAGTGGGAAATATTTAAAATTATGCCTGTGGCTCTGATTCTAACTCACCCTCACACTAAGACATGTATTTGATTCTAACTCACCCTCATACTAAGACATGTATTCTCAAAAAAAAGATTTCTAACACTGACCACAAACCTTTAATATTTGGAAATGTCAACTGCTCTGTACTCTGGCAAGATTAACTTTACATGTATAAAATTACAAAATACTAACGGTGACAAGCAATTGCAAAATTATACCTGCTCAAGCAGTTCAGTGTTGCTGTATCAGTGCCTCATCTCAGTGCTGTGTAGTTAACATACAGGGCGCCTTACCAAAAGCCAATTCATTAAACTATTTCAGAGAGAAACAGTTTAAAAGGCTATGTGTACTGCTCAGCCCTCTGCTGACCACGGCTGACACTCAGGTAAAATATCAGAACATCATCAAGCCACAAGATCCACGCTTTCCTACCACACGACCTTCTAACTTCCTTCCACTTTTAAAAGTACTTTCCTACTGACAATTCTCGAGGAAAAGGGGAGTGGTGGATGCGGGAAGAAACTGAACATAAACTGTGCACCTATGGATTAGGACAATGCGGGGTGGGGAAAGGGCAGAGGGTGGGGTGGGAACCTGGTGAAGGGGGGAAGAAATGAGGAATCTTTGTAATAATATGAACAATAAAGATTGATAAAAAAAAATAATAATAATAAAAAAATAATAATAATAAAAAATAAAAAGTACTTTCCTCGGTTAATGAGACCCAAAGGTTTGGGAACGGCTGTACTAGTTCATAAAGCGCTCTTAAGTTTTAAAAAGGCAAAGAAAAAGAAAAGAAAAAAAAAGACCTTTTACTTATTCATGTTCAATTCTGCAAACATTCTTTTTTTTCTTTCCACTTTTTAAATTATGCGGCTGTTTTTATTAGTCACCATTTGGGGAATCATTCATCTCTTAGACTGAGGAAGAGGGACACCTAAGGGAAACTGACAGTCAGTTCCTGGACAGAGGTTGGAATTCACATCTGGGGGAGAGCCAGTTGGTCCCACTCGAGCCTCAATGAATGGAGCAAAGGTGACGGGGAAGGAGGGGGGAACAGGCTTCCAGCATCGCCTCCCCCTGGGCGGCAGCCTCTCCTTCCAGCCTGACATCCGCCCCGCTGGGGGCGCGGGGCGGGCCAGGGGCGACCCCCGGAGCACCTGAGCATCGCCCTGGGGCGCGTCGGTGGGAGGCCGGGCCGGCGGCCGGACCAGGGGACCAGGTCCCCGCTCGCCTTTCCAAGCTGAAGCGAGGGCGCTGCCTCTCCCACGGGGCCAGGAACCATCCAGGTATGTGGGCGCCGGGATGGAGGATCGGCCCCCAACCAAACCTCCAGCAACCCCGAGGGCCCCCCGCTGCCTCCAGCCTCCTCAAGGAGGTGCGCAGAGCGGGGGCGTGCAGGGGACAAGCCAGCATGGCGGCGGCGGGTACTCACAGAGCCCACTGGAGCCGGTGCTGAGGAACATGGTCCCGCCGGACCCGGAGCCCCCGCGGGGGGACTAGGGGGAGGGGAAGCCGAGGTGGAGAGACTGGCGACCGCGCAGGCGCACTCCCGGCGGTGGAGGGGGGGGGGGAGGGGAGGGGGGAGGGGCGGCAAATCCGGCAACTGGATTCCACTTCAGGAGCCTCCTGCGCAGAGCGCATGCGTGGCCTGTGGGGCGCTCCGCTCCGCTCCGTCCGCCCCGCTCCCTTCCTGTTCGCGAAGGGAAGTGCGTCCGCGGAGAGACAGAATCCACCTCTCCAGGTTTTCTCGATGGCTGTGGGCGCCCTTTGGAAAAGGAACGGGATGGCGTGGGCGGGGCGAAGGTGGAACTCCTGGGCGCCGCCCACCAGTGCTCACCTCCGCCTTCTCGCCCGCCTGGTGGGTCCGCCAGGGCAACGGATTCCACCTGACCTCGGCCTGGACGGGACGCCCGACGAGTTCTGCGCATGCTCAGTCATTCCTAGGCAGCTCCCCCAAGCTCTTCCCGTTGTCAGTTATTTGTGGGAGAGGGACCCCAAGACCCTAAGGTTTGAGAACGGCTGTAATAGTTCATAAAGCGCTCTGAAGTTTTAAAAAGGCAAAGAAAAAAAGAGCTTTTACTTATTCGTGTTCAATTCTGCAAACATTCTTTTTTTATTTTCCCCACTTTTTAAATTATTCAGCTGTTTTATTTGTCACCATTTTGGGAATTATTACATATCTTATCTCTACAGTGCTTCTGATCAATTAATATTTAGACACCTAAGCAGATATAGAATGGGTTGACTGCTTTGATAGCATTAAACATTGATGAAACATATTTTCACAGCAATGTTTCCATTTGTATAAATAATAACAGATCTATTTTTCTAATCATCTAGAAATAATAACAGAAATACCAAATAAGTTTCACTTACTAGGTGGATAATTTACTAGGTTTTTTGTTCTATTGTGTGCTTTTTTAATGTGAATAATATTATGTTAATTTATAGTATCTATTACCACTTTAAAAAGAAGAATATTTGAGCAAGAAACAATGTGGAACCTGACCAGTGTGGCTCAGTGGTTGAGCATGGACCTATGAACTAGGAGGTCACTGTTCTATTCCCAGTGTGAGGTCTGCAAGAGGTAGCCGATCAATAATTCTCTCTCATCATGATGTTCTCCTCTCTCTCTCTCTCTCTCTCTCTCTCTCTCTCTCTCTCTCTCTCTCTCTCTCCCCCCCCTTCTCCCTCCCTTTCTGAAATCAACAAAAAATATATTTAGTAGAAAAAAAACACAATGTGCATTAGACCTGAAGCATGTTTTCAGATTATGTCATAATTTCCAGAGCATCTTTATATATTATGGATGGTACATGTTTTTTAATATACTCCTCCACAGACAAATCACATAGTTTGATTTTATACAAAATATATCCAGAGATCCAAGCTTAAGTGGTTCTACATTACACATTTGTTTTCACAGTTTAGTATCTCTTAAATCAAGAGTTGCCTTGCAATTGATGGCATGTCACTGTGATTGGCAGCATTTTTTTTTCCTTTTTACAATCAACATGATCTTTTTTTTTCTTTTTATTAAATTAATTGAAGTGACATTGATTATAAGATTATACAGGTTGCAAGTGTGCAATTCTATGATATCCGATCTTCCATTTCATTGTCTGTTTCAATCTTTTTATTTTTTTAAATTAAATCTTTACTGCTGAAAGTATTACATATGTTCACTTCCCCTCCCCGCCATTGAGTTCTTCTAACCCTCCCTCACCCCAGACTTTCACACCCTGTTGTTTGTGTCCATGGGTTATGCAAATATGCATACGTGCTTTGTTTGATCTCTTCCCATCCAACCATCCTCCCTCAGCTTCCCTGAGATTCAACAGTCTATTCTATGCTTCTGTCTCTGGATCTATTTTGTCCATCAGTTTATTGTGTTCATTAGATTCCACATATGAGTAATATCAAATGATGGTTGTCTCTCTGACTGGCTTATTTCGCTCAGCATAACACTCTCCAAACATTCTTAAAAACTAAATGAATGATAATATGATAAGTAGAACTTGTTTGAAAGTATTTTCAATGATTCAGACCTTGAATGTATATCTACATCTAGATTAAATAAGTATTTAAAAAAAAAAAATATATATATATATATATATATAGAGAGAGAGAGAGAGAGAGAGTTTGCAAAGGTAGAAACTTCAGAGATTTGAGGAAAGTTTGAAAATCATAGTCCTGAAATGTTTCTCTTAAATCAAATCTGAAAAATATAAGGTATCATTTTGTATAGAATAGCACAAATAATAGCAGTCTAATCTAAACAATAGCAGAGAAAGTTTTACCAGCTGTAAAAGAAGTTACTATTAGAATAGTAAGAGAGGTAAGTGTTTTCTTCTATTCTGTTGAGCAATAACATTGTATAAGAAATCCAAGGAGGTAGAAAATAGGCTATGAAATAATCTACAATTAGGAGAATGTTTGTTACAAGTGAATGCAAGTAAACTATATGATAATGAACTTTGCTGACCACAAATGTAAAAGTCATGGAAATAAAAATATTGAACAGAAAATTGTTTTCCATACATACAGACAATGGATACTAAAAGTTGTGTAAGTGTGATAACTTTACAGGAAAACTTTTTCTTTTTCTATATCACTGTGCAACAGATGGAGCAGCAACCATAGTCAGCTAGTGAGAAAAGTAACAACAGCCATGTTTGCAAGTCATTAAGTTATTAACACCCTCAGCCACCAAAAATTTTAGCACAAAACCCACAAATCAATGAATATCAGTACTAATAATAAAATTAAAATGTATGCATTTTATAAAAGATCATTTTGTAATCTTTGCTGTGACTTTAGAAGGAGTTTGCTTTATCCTACATATGGAAGTTAAATAGCATTCCAAAGAAAATAGTTTTTAAATATTTAATGTATTCTTTAATACTGAGATACAGTATTTGTTTCAATCAATAAAAATTAAATAGTGATAGCAAAATATTACGAAGTCATTTGATACATATTCCACATGTATTAGAAATGTTAAATGAAGTCCTTAAATTACAAGCAAATGATATTGATATTATTAAAGAAGATTATCGCGAGATTTTTCAACAAATTTGCATCATTTTAAGAGCTTTCTTGGCCAGAATTTTTATAGTTGTTTTATCTGTAGCAGATAAAACGATGTAAGTTACTGGTTTTGAATTATATTGCTAATTTTGATGCCATTTAAAAACATACAGTGATTAGACCTAAAGATCAGTGTGAATTTATAATATCAGATTAGTTTAATACACTTGAAAATTTTGCAACATATTAGTCAATGTTTGCAAAAATATTAATTGTGATAAAATATGATTTGGGTGACAAAATGTATCATTTAATCTAATTACAAAAAGGTTTTAATTTGCCTAAGATTTTCATTCATCTTTTTTTAATATGGGAGTTACATTATTTAGTACTAAAGGCCTGTTGCATGAAATTCATACACGAGGGTGGAGGTTCCCTCAGCTCGGCCTGCACCTCTTGCAATCTGGAACCCCTGTGGGATCGGGCCTAAACCAGCAGTCAGACATTCCTCTCACAATCCGGGACTGCTGGCTCCTAACTGCTGGCCTGCCTGCCTGATTGCCCCTAACCATTCACCTTGCTGCCTGATCACCCCTAACTGCCTCCAGAAGGATGTCCAGAATGACAATTAGAAGGTCATTTGGCTGTCTGGTCTAATTAGCATACTATGCTTTTATTATTATAGACTAGAGACCTGGTGCACAAAAATTCATGCACTGGGGGGTCCCTAAGACCCACCTCTCTCCTCTCACAGTCTGGGAGCCCTCAGGGGATGTCCTACTGATAACTTATATATATGTGGTCAGCCGCAGTCTGGCCTCCCTCTGCAGAAAGCAACTGGGCTGATCAGGGGAAGATGACGCCCCCATCATGCCTCTGCTGCTGCCACTGCTGGCTGTGGCTGCCTGAGCCTTGGCCCATGTAGCCACCACAGCTTGCCTGAGCCTCTGGCTGGCCCTGGGCAGCAGCAGCCGCCATCCTCGGCTTGCCTGAGCCTCAGGCAGCCACTTTGGCTTTGTCTGGAAGGACCTCTGCTCTAATTAGCATATTACCCTTTTATTAGTATAGATAGTATTTCCAAACTGCATATTTAGTGAAATGGATTTAGTGCAGTGAAGCAATTCCTGCAAAACCAACAAAATGTAACAGAACATTTGAGATTTCTTTTTTTTTTTTTTAATATATTTTATTGATTTTATACAGAGAGGAAGGGAGAGAGATAGAGAGTTAGAAACATCGATGTGGGAGAGTCATCGATCAGCTGCCTCTTGCACACCCCCTACTGGGGATATGCCCGCAACCAAGGTACATGCACTTGACCGGAATCGAACCTGGGTCCCTTGAGTCCCCAAGCCGACGCTCTATCCATTGAGCCAAACCGGTTTCGGCTGAGATTTCTTTTATCAGAATCAGAACCTCATTAAATCTCATCAATCAAAAATTTAAAAATATTTCAGATTATCATCATATGTTTTAGTTTGGGTCTCCCCAAGAACAGACTCTAAGATACAGTTTCAAGTTTTCTGGGAGTGGTCCTAAGAAAGACCAGTGTGAGAATGGGGAAGTGAGACAGGGAAAGGAAAGATGAAAGACAGTAGAGCTGAATTATCAAACAGATTCAGTGCTAACTGTGGGTAACTGGAGCCAGTGCCCAGCATCATCCCAACGGAGGGCAAGGCAGCTGGAGTATATATACACCGGCTCCTATCAATCATTGAGGGTTACCCTCAAGCAGTACAATTTCCCCTCACTTTCACAACCCCCCCCCCCATATGCGTGGATAGAGGCTCCACCACGCAGCCTATAGTTTTCATAGCAGAATGAGAAGGCTATGCTGAGAAAATAACATGTGGAAATTATGGTTTGGGGATTTTTTTTAGAGAAGTGATGGGGCCTGTTTGCATTTTGTTGTTCAGTCTTCCTCCAGGACCTA